GCGGAGCTGCCCCAAATGGCGGCGGCAAGGCGGCCACTTAGGAGATGGAGGTTTGCATTCTGCCCGCGCGTTAACAAAATAAACGGTGCGTTTGAGGGCTTCGCAGCTTTCCATAGTTGTTGTCGTTATCATCGGTTTTCTCGAGACAGGGTTTCTCCGTGCGGCTTTGGAGCCTGTCCTGGCGCTCGCTCTGGAGACCAGGCTGGCCTCGAACTCACAGAGATCCGCCTGCCTCTGCCTCCCTAGTGCGGGGATTAACGCGTGCGCCACCAACGCGCGGCTCCATGGTTATTAATTAGGGCAGAGTGCTCTTAGTCCCACCACAGCGGCTCCATTGTTCAGCCTGGGCCTTCTTCCCCCTCTAAACACGTGGTTCTCCCTTCTTTGAGATGCTGCATACACGAGGAGCGATGTCCTGCCGACTATAAGCGCGAGCTTCCCCTGTTAGCACACTTTACTCAGCTGTTAAGTTGGCACCCTCGTCCGCAACCCTCAGCATCTGACAGCCGCCCCCCTCCCACCGCCTAGGAGTAGGTGGGGATTCCTCGGCCCCTGGTAAAGTAGGAAATGCTTTAGCTCCAGGGGCCTATGGCTTTGAAGTTCCCAGGAACTCTTGTAGTAAGCCAGACGGCAGGCTCTAGGCCACCTCTTTCTTCCTGTTGTTCCTAAAAGGCCAGGAAACACCCCTCGGGAGAGGCCTTTTATTGAACCTAACGTAGTAGCACTGAGGAGAGTAACATAGTGAGGTTTATCCCCGTTGAGCCCCCCAACTGAGTCAAACTTCTACTTTACAGCCTGCAAAGGATGTTTGCACCAACACAGCAAAGTCGTGCAAATCAAGGCTTGTGTTTGCACCAGTCAGGACATTGCCCCTTTAGCACACATCCTCTGCTCCAGGGCTATAGGAAGTTCCACCATACCATGGGAGTGGGGTGGGTGGGAGACCATGACATGGGGACTGAGTGTCATCTAGAGTCCATCAAGGCTTGTGAAGGCAAAAAAAAAAATCCAGTAACCAACTATTGTAAACAGTCCTGGCTGAGGCCACACCTTCAGGAGCTGGAGCAATTAGCTGTCATCACACCGTGGTTTTCTCCAGTGTTCAGAATGGCCAGTGTGGATGGTCTGGCTAGCTGTTTTGTTTGACTGATAGTCCTGCTTAAGGCAGCCAAGGAACTGTCCAGCAGATGTCAGTAGAGAATCAAGTCGACCCACCTCCTGGTCTCTGCTTGTTTGCAGGACAGTGAACATCAGAGAAGCACTTATGATAAAAACTTGCACTCGCTAACATTCATGGTGATTTTAACAATGCTTAAAGCCTGAGCCAATGGCCAGAGCGAAGAGTCCCCCTCGTCTGTCTGTCTTGCCATTATTCCTTCCTTCCTTCATTAGTGAGTTTGAGTCTTATATAGCCTAGACTAGCCTCAAACTCTCAATTCTCCCGCCTCAGGCTTCAAGTGCTGGGATTAAAGTCAGTAGACGCCCTGTCCTGCTCTGCTATAAACATAGCAGATAGAGAAATACAGCAAGATGGCCAAAGCAGTGCAGCTAACAGTGTCATGACAAGGTGTAGGCATAACAATTTCCCATCACGTCTATCTCTCTGCTTCAAAAATCTGGTTGATTCTGTATAGCTATTTCCTTGGGATTATAACATTTCCTTCCTCCTCATGACAATAGAGAAGGCTCATAAAATTCAGAAGTTGCAAGACACAGAACCCTTCTCCCAGATTACGTCACCTATAAACAGTTCCTGATGACAGAAGTCTCTTTGGTGGATCTGTGTACAAGTTATGTAGAGAACTCAAGGGAGAAGCAGCTCCGATCTCCCTTGCTCCTCTAAGTGACCTATCACCCATATACTGGAAATGGGCCCCTAACCCTGCCAGTCTAGGCTTGACTGGAGAAGTTTCTTTGGTCTTTCATTAGTGCCCTACTGGTATAAATAGACTTTTTAATGTCTGCCTACAGAAAAACCATACAAGAAAAGTCTACATGTTAACTCACTGATTCATGCCCTAGGTGAAACAAGCTCGCCTTCCATAGTGCAGAGAACTGTTGCAAGAAAGGGAGTCACAGAAGAGCAGTTTCCCACCCGTGAGCATCATTTTAATTTACAGTATTCACCAGCTGCAGTCATGTACCAAGTGCTATCTTAGGCTTTGGGGACACAGCCTATCACCAGATACTTTACATAATGAGAGCCAGTACCTGAACATATAATGTCAGGCCAGGCAGGTGTGGCGGCACACACCTTTAATTGCAGTATTCAATAGACAGAGGCAGGTGGATATCTGTGAGTTCAAGGCCAGCCTGGTGTCCATAGACAATTCCAGGACAACCAAGGCTACACGGTGACTCTCTCTCTCTCTCTCTCTCTCTCTCTCTCTCTCTCTCTCACACACACACACACACACACACACCAGGCACTAATAAGCAGAGTAAAACAAGGGAAGGTGCAGTGTGCTTGTTCGGACACGCCGACCTTTATCTTACAGTTACTGCATGCAGCCCTCAGTGCCCGAGGAGCCTCACATGTCCACACTTGACAGAAATACCACATTACTGTGTGCTTTTGTTTCCAGAAAGCTGCCCCTGGGCAACCATTTGCAGCGTTGTGAGCAGAGGGAATGAGAATGAGAAACCGTGGGGCAGAAAGAGGCTGTTTCCACCATTGACTTGTCCACTGATATTTTATTGACACTGCTGTTACACAGGGAAGCGAGGTATTGAGGGCACAGAAAGGAATCCTTGAATGTGGTTGATGCAGCATCACTCTGGGAAGCAGTAAGCTCTGGGAAATCAGAAAAGAGGGACAGCCAAAGGGAAAGACCCACTCACAAGAAACACAGATGCTAGGAGGGTTAGCATTCACCTGCGACTTGGAAAGAGGGACTAAATGACATTATCATTTCGACTTTTCAGGGGTCATGATGGGCCTTTGGAGAAGGGGAAAAACAAATTCTTTAGCGAATTACTAGAGTCACAACGACTGAGCGTTATAAAGTGCCAGGGACAGATTAGGATTCTCTGGCAGGCAGGTGGTGGTGGTGGTGGTGGTGGGGTTATAATATGGGCTTGCCATTTATGGAATCACAACTACTACCTGTCTGGAACTATGCTGAGTTCTTACAGGACGATTCACAGCAGTTACCGTAAGAGGCTAGCATTATTACCATCATTCCAGTTACAAACAGGAGGACATTAGGGCTTCCAGGTTAAATAGCTTGTCCAGGCCCCTGTCTCACAGCCAGCAAGAAGGAGGGGAGGGAGGGGAACCCAAATCTGCCAGCCCTGAGTCAGGGTGCTTTCCATACCCGCATTACCATGACACGTTTCTCAGAAGGAGCAGATGGGGACGACTTCAGCATTCGTTAGTATATTTCCAGTGGGTGTCATGGGACACAGATTCAGGTTTGAATGGGCTGCTTGTAAGTCTCATAGGGAATGTTGGGTCCTGTCACCTAGAAGTCTCTCTCCTAGGGAAAGGTTATTTTTTAAAGATTTATTTATTATGTACAGTGTTCTGTCTGCATGTATCCAACAGAAGAGGGCACCGGATCTCATTACAGATGGTGTGAGCCACCATGTGGTTGCTGGGAATTGAACTCAAGACCTCTGGAAGAACCATCAGTGCTCTTAACCTCTGAACCATCTCCCCAACCCTGGAAAAGGTTTTTATGTGAAGTGATGCGGGGAGGGGCAGCCCTAGGGATTGAAGCAGTGCCCTGTGCATGCTACCCAAGCGATTTGGGTTAGGATAGGAGTTGGCAGAGGAGTCAGCCTCTAGGACATGTCTCTAAGAAGTGGTCCTAGACGGTGACCCGATAGTTGGGGTGGACCTGGGGCCTGACGTCACAGACCATGCCAAGAAGCTGAGCCAGGACACGCTCCCGGTTTCTCTGCTGGGAGCTCTGCATGCCCTGGACCTGACGTCTGGTGGCCTGCTCCACTTCAGCAGACAGGTTCCCCTGAGAGCCCATGGCCTGGGGAGTGGGGGTGGAGGGGAGAGAGAGAGAAGCAGAAACAGAGAAAGAACGGTCCCAGTGTGTACAAGGAAGGATTCTGAGGAAGGCCGGGAAAGCCTTTTCAAAACTACTGCCATGCCACAAAAACTAGATACCAGACAGGGCAGCACAGTCCCGGTTTCTAAAAGGTGACATGCAGTCCCACCCAAAAATGATCTGAAATTCCCTCCCTCTTACCACAATGGCCATAAAACTGTCCCCCACATCCATGTTGCCACACTGCACACGGACTGTGAAGGCTGCTCCCACACACACACCATCCATGTTACCACACTGCACACGGACTGTGAAGGCTGCCCCCACCCCCCACCCTCCATCCATGTTACCACACTCCACACGGACTGTGCAGGCTGCTCCCACACACCATCCATGTTCCCACCCGGCACACGGACTGTGAAGGCTGCCCCCCCCCCCCACACTCCATCCATGTTGCCACACTGCACACGGACTATGAAGGCTGCTCCCACACCTCACACCATCCATATTACCACACTGCACACGGACTGTGAAGGCTGCCCCCACCCCCCACACTCCATCCATGTTACCACACTCCACACGGACTGTGAAGGCTGCTCCCACACACCATCCATATTACCACACTCCACACGGACTGTGAAGGCTGCTCCCACACACACCATCCATATTACCACACTGCACACGGACTGTGAAGGCTGCCCCCACCCCCCACACACCATCCATGTTACCACACTCCACACGGACTGTGAAGGCTGCTCCCACACACACCATCCATGTTACCACACTCCACACGGACTGTGAAGGCTGCTCCCACACACACCATCCATGTTACCACACTCCACACGGACTGTGAAGGCTGCTCCCACACACACCATCCATGTTACCACACTGCACATGGACTGTGAAGGCTGCTCCCACACATACCATCCATGTTACCACACTGCACACGGACTGTGAAGGCTGCTCCCACCCCACACACCATCCATGTTACCACACTCCACACAGACTGTGAAGGCTGCCCCCACACACCATCCATGTTACCACACTGCACACGGACTGTGAAGGCTGCTCCCACAAGCTGCATGTGTCCTTTGAAATCCCCAGGCCTTGTCAGGGCGCCCTCAGCCCTGTGACAGCCTCGTTTCTTGCTGAGTCATGTACATTTTACAGAGGCACCCCTGACCTGCGCCTGAGTTGGCCCACCCCTGCCCCTCTCCTCACCGCCTGCTGCTTGCTGTGAAACTCCTGCTCACGCTCCCTGCGGTACTGCTCCACCTCCATTTGAGCCTCCTCCTTTGCCTGCTTCAGTCTCCGGGCCTTCCCTAGAGCAGAACGACAGTGGGCACAGACACCGCACACACACATCGAGGCGTGGTAACTCGGATCGGTCCCCTCCAGTCAGCCAGCCAAGTGCTGGCTTCGGAAACCCACCCATATCTCGTATCGTAGTAAAAGCCTCCAGGCCCCAGCCCTGTCTCCCCCAGGACTCGAATGGCCGCTACCCCCCGCCCCTGCATTCCCCGTGGCTCACTCTTCCTGGCATCGGCCACCTTCTCCGCGGCCCGCTTCTCCGCTTGCAGGAGCTGCTGGATACCCTGGGACTGACTGGCCATTTTTGTCACTAGACAGGATGCTGTTTCGAAGGCGACCAAGGTTCCAGACGGCTGCCAGCCTCCGGCGCCCACTGCTGGGCCGGCCGGTCGGCGGGCCCGTTGCCGCAGCCCTCCCCTCCCACTGGGTCTTAATGCTCCCGTTTTCCCTCAGCCTCCCGCATCCTCACATGCTCACACTGGCGA